AAATATATATATATATATATATATATATATTTTAGTTATGCACACTTTACATTGCCAATAAATTGAATTTTACATCTAATTTTGGAAGTCTGTTAATGCTGTAAAAACATCTGCTTCACCATATGCAACTCATTGTTGGTGTCTTACATTTAGCAAGGGCTTAACCATTGATGTTTTCTGGTTTTGGATGACATTTAATCCAACTTGCAAATAATTAATGCGTTTTTTTCTCTAACATAAAAAAATTATGTATTTGTCATTTCAAACAATATGCTTAACTAAGATAACAAAATCATTTTTTGTCTACTATTTTTTCATAGATCTTATGGTACGCTATCTTTTTCATCTCTTATCATAATTTTCTGTTTTTTGAATGCGAATGATTCCCTTCAGCTATTGGATGTTGAAATTTCTGTCAATTCCAGGGTTGGGTTTCTATTTACAGCTATAGTCACTAGTGGAGCAGGTCTTCTTAGCTCTTTTGCTCCCAATTATATTTCCTTGCTTATCCTTCGTTTTGTGGTTGGTGTCGGTTTGGGAGGCGGACCAGTCCTTGCTTCGTGGTTTTTAGAGTTTGTTCCGGCTCCAAATAGAGGTACTTGGATGGTCATTTTCCAGGCATTTTGGACGATTGGTACCATCTTGGAGGCATCTCTTGCTTGGGTACGTTTTGCATCTCCACTAGTTTACTTTCCCTTGCTATGTATAAGTAAATATAAGGATTTGCTTATATGAAAATGTGCATATGAAAATATATTTCATATGAAATTGTCTCACTTTAGGTAAGTTGAAGTTAGTGATATTTGGATGTATGTTGTTATTAGGATATCATACAAGTAAATATAAGGCTTTATTTAGTTGATATGTAAATACATAAGATTTTTGTTTATTTTGTGGTATTTTACATATCTCCAGAGTAAGTGTGAAAATTATTGTGGTAACTAATTTCTATAAATAAATTTTGAATCTGCATATATTTTCTTAATTCTAAGATTTTTATTTACATTTTTTCTTAATTTTATTGACAAAAGATGACATACTTTAAATTATCATTTTTTTTTATTTTAATTTTGTACATTATATGAATGATCATATTAGCTCTATGTTTGAAAAATGATTTTGCTAAAAAAAATTTAAACTGGACCATGCAAGTGCTATTTCCTTAAAATGCAATCTTAATTTAATTCGCCTATATCGTGTAAAGGCTGACATCCATCATAGAGAATGTGGCGTATAATATTGTTAATTAGACAATCTTTAACAAACAATTTTTTGATATAAGTCCGAAATTTATCAAATCTATAATTTTCTTAAAATGACTTTTCACACTTCAAAACATTATTGAAATGAGTTATTTCTAATAATCACATTACCTTCAAATTAAGAGATAGAATCCCTAAAATTTTGAAAGAAAATATTAGCCATTTGCACTTAGGCACATATGTTTTTATTAGTTTGTATAGATGGCCTTTTTTCCACGACTCAAATTTGTTATTTCCAAATTATAAGGCGACTTAACCATTGCTTTAGGCCTGTTTAGGCACGTGCATTCTACTCCCATGAGAAAATGACTTTTCTCATAATTTCCTTTTTGTTCTACCATCTCTTATGGTCTTCATTAGATCAAATTTCCTTTTTTTTATAGTAGTTATTTCTCACCATATCAAAAAAATAGGATGGTTTGGATTAGAAGATCCCTTAAGAATATAGTAAATCTAATTTTATCCATATATTTGACCGATCAAATCAATCAGACACAAAACTTCCATTAACTTTGTTTTAAATTCCATTTGAAATACTCAACATAGTAAAAATTATGTTCGCCTTTTCAAGTCAAAAGCCGTCCATTAAAAAATTGTGATGCATAAGAAAAAAAAAACATTTCACGAGTTACCAAAAATTCCCAACTTATTTGTTGAACTGTTATCTTGCTTTAAAAATCTGTCGAACTTCCCATATCTAAAATACAAGCTTCGGAGATCACCACAAATTATATTTCTTGTATTTTTTGTCTTTGCAAAAATGTGAGAAAATAACTTGTTTTGCACTGATATGAGAAGTTTATAACAATGCTAGCCATAAGAGTTTTCCTTAAAACAGAAATTTCCATCCATAGAAAAACTTCTACTTAATGATTCATTAATTTGGCTTTTTTATTTTATTTTATTTTTTTATTATTTTTTTCTTTTGTGCAGGCTGTTATGCCAAAACTGGGCTGGAGGTGGCTGTTAGCATTTTCTTCAATACCATCTTTTCTTCTGCTATTATTCTACCACATGGTCCCGGAGTCTCCCAGATATCTTTGCATGAAAGGTCGAATATCCGAGGCAATGCATATTTTTGAAAAGATGGCAAGAACAAACCGAGCAGCTCTTCCACCCGGTGTTCTAATTTCTGATAAAAGAACAGAGCTCGATGAAAATTCCCATCCTACTGAATCCTCACATTTGATAACTGCTCAGGATAAAAAAACTGTAGTTGTTGATGAAGTGGAACCTAAAACATTTGACATCACCTCATTTACGAAGCTTCTATCACCAGAATTGATCAAATCTACTCTTCTTCTTTGGATGACTTTCTTCGGGAATGCATTTTCGTATTATGGAATTGTCTTGCTTACATCTGAGCTGAGTGGTGGTAATAGTAAATGTACGGCAGAACCTCTACTGGAGCATTCAGTTGGGAGCAGCCTTTATAAAAATGTCTTTATCAGTAGTTTTGCTGGTAGAATGGTTAATTTGTTATTATTTTTCAGAAGAGGACTGTCAAAATGATCCCCTGACTCTTTGCACGGGATCATCTTAGTGCTAGAGCTTATAAAAGTGTCAATTTTGTCCTACATTCTGTTAATGAGGGCTAAAATAGTCCTTTTATGAGAGATTTCAGCCTATATTAAAAGAATATGAGGATTAATTTGACACATCAGTATACCCTGGGACTGAAAATACCATGTAAATGGTATGGGGACTATTTTGACACTTCACTCTTTCTCAGAATATAATATTTTTGGAACTCATACTAGAAAATAATATTTTTTCAGAGGTTCCTGGACTACTTCTATCAGCTACAATTGTGGATAGGTTTGGTCGCAAGCTTTCAATGTCAGCTTTGCTTTTTATAAGTTGTGCTTTCCTGTTGCCATTAGTAGTTGAACAGAATGAAGCAATCACTACAGCACTCTTGTTTGGTGCTCGGGTCTGTATTTCTGGTAGCTTCGCCATAATCTATGTATATGCGCCAGAGGTTAGTGCAAGAGTTCCATATGAATTTATGATATCCACTTCCTTTTATTTCTCTTAGAGCCCTATTGGTGGCAGGATTATGTGTAAAGTTGCGCACCCCCCTCACCTAAAACTAGAATTACACATTAATCCGATGAAGTTTTAATCAGAGCTCAATATCAATAATATGTTGACTTTAATACATTCCAACCTGATTTTAAGTTTCATGTTTCTATTTATTTTTCATGCCACAACTTCACTGCAAAGTATACTAAGAAATAACTTGTTCGAATGGTGTGATGTTAGGGAATGTCAACTATGTAACTGTTGCCTTTCAGCAGTTCCCTTTCTTGAGAACACTTTAGCTTCACAAAATGCTGCAAATGCTTAATACACCAGCTCAGTTAGCATCATAAATCAGCTTTTAGATGCTGCACAACTGGGGATCTAAAGACGGAATTTCCAAAGCAAATTAACCGCATTCTTTTGAAATGCAACAGGAAAAAACTACCACCAAACTGACTTAATTCTACTTTCAAAATTATTTGTCTGAAACTACCATGAATTCCATCTACCAATAAATATGAACTACTTGATAATCAAGAAAAATCATCTCATGTAGTCCATATTAGGCGATAACAACATTGTAATTTAATGAAATTTACATGTGTAGCATCCAATTCTTATGAATTTACATATCTCACACCTTAACTTTCATATTTACATGCATAGCACTTCAACGCTTTAAACCTATGCATGAAAATATGTACTTCACTTTTAAAAGTGATAATAGTGCTACTTTTGATATGATATTAGAGATTTCAGTGTATGTGTGTAAATATGAAAGTTTAAGTTTGAGATATGTAAATACATAAGAATTGTGTGCTAGGTATGTAAATGCCCCTAGAATTTAGCAACAACATAAATCTAACACTACAATTTAATCCATATATATAACATCACATAGTTCACGATGAACATCTGCTGCCATTAGCATCTTCATCACTACTACTTCAACCATCACTCGTGTTTCTGTTAAAATCTAAAATGATTTTTTCCCCTCTATTTTAGATATATCCTACCTCCCTTAGAACCACCGGAGTTGGGACCGCGAGCTCTGTGGGAAGAATAGGAGGGATGTTGTGTCCACTTGTGGCTGTTGCTTTGGTTCATGGCTGCCATCAGATGATAGCACTTCTGTTGTTTGAACTTGTACTGTTTCTCTCTGGAATGGCTGTTATATTTTTTCCGCTAGAGACCAGTGGCAAGGGATTGGCAGATTCTGTGAGGAGTATGAAGTGAGAGAGGCAACTCTTTTACAACAACAAAATTTACTTGTTTCTGTTAGAAAACAAACGTACTGAGGAAATCTGAACTGGAGGAAAGAATAGAAGGTTAGTGATTCAACGATCTGACACAAGTTCATGAATGTTTCACATTTTTTTTTCCTCATATGAACCATTTGATTACCCAAGGCTGAATTTTTGTTGCCAAATGTTTAATAGGAATGAAGTGGAAAACAACATTTCTTACTTTGTACAAACTTCAAATGGATTATTAGATGATTTTTATTTTATTTTTTCCTATTCTTTATCTTGACTCATATTGAATGGCTATGAATGTGCACTTATTTTTTTATTGTCATCTTTTTTAATGAATGAATGAGAAATTTTGCTGTTAAACATATACTATATTGGATGTTTGTAATCCTTGGCCCGTTTTAAGTAGAAATCTTATTTATTTAATATTATCTTATAATATAAATAATAGATATATACAGAACCTAATCAATGTAATGCAGTCAAAATGAAGCTAAGTTTCATTAAGTATAATATAATTGTGTATCTAACATAATTAACTATGATTAATGTAGGAAAATTGAATGATTCAATGAAATTTTTGAAATTGTAGATCCTATTAAATTTATTAAAAAAAAATCATAATTAAGGAATATAAATGATACTATAATTTGGCTCAATTTTTTAATTAATAGATTGATGATATAATTAGTTAAACATACTGAAAAATTTTGGATCACATCAATTTCTTAAACACACCTAGTGATCAATATCATGATCATGAGAAAATTAACCACATAATCATTATAAAATTTAAGATTTTTAATTATTTTACAAAAATAAATATGAAGTAATTCAAATAATCATAAATTACTTTACATTCCAAAATTCTTGAGATAATTTTTATGCGTTTTAATATATATTTTAATTATTCCTAAATTAAAGCTTAAATATTTTTAGTTGAGTCCATGATTGAGTTCATTGGCAAATCCACTAAATCAATTTGTAAAACAAAAAAAAAATTTTAAAAAAAATCTTTTTAATATGTCCTTATAAAATAAGTGTTGAATATTTTTATAAATAATAGGCATTGGATGCTTTGTCACCGACGAGTCAATAAACTCATGAGGGTCTGTTTGAGACAGCTTCAGCTTATTGAATAATCTGTTGATAAGCTGATTAAAAATAATATATTGATAATTTAGGTGTGGTGGCTATTACAAATTTTTATTTTTTTCGGAAAAATCATACCGCAGTCAGAAAACTGCCACCACATCTGAATGAGTGCGGTGTGAAAACTTTATTTTCAGCATTTTGAAAACGCATAAGTTGTCAAAACGCAATTTACCTAAATAGGACATAATTGCAACAAATAAGCTGCCCCAAACGGATCATCAGTTGAGAAACTGTTGTAAAATTATAAATAATATATAATAACTTTTAAAATACAGATAATATAATTAAAAAATTTCAAAGTGACCAACCACAAAATGTAATTATATTGATATTATGCAGAATGATTTATTCAATAAAAAAAACATTCTATATATTAAATTTTTTTTTAAATAAAACTAAAAAATAGTTAACCAAGTGTTATAATTATTATTTTAAAAAATAAAATTGACAGAACTTTAGAGAGTGGTGTTAGCCTTATAAGGTTCAAGTTGGCGACTGCGTGTGAAGGAAGCACTCAGAGGTCTTCCAAACATTACAATTTAATTTATAAGGCGAGCTTGTTATTAGTCATTAGCTCCAGCATTAGTGCTGGTGAAGTCAGAAGCAGCCAATGACATGGTCAGTTATCCTCAGTTAAAGGGGGCTATACCCCTTTCCTTACCGCTAAGGTTTCAACTAGTGAAAAGCTACTCTTTTGTGTGTATATTCAGTATGCATGCATTAAAAATTGATGCGATAAGAAATATATTGTGTTATCATCTGTGTTTTCTTTATTATTTGTAACATTTTTATATTTTTTTTGGGGGTAATCTTGCATGCTTTTGCAAATTGCAAGTTGCAGGTGAGCAAAGGGAGCATTTGCAGCAAATATAACTTAAGTATTGGCTTCACGACCTGATAGTCGAAGTAGAAACACTACTGCAAAAATGTCGGCGAGGGTCAAATATTTAGACACTAATCTAATGATTTTCGAATGCTAATTCAAATTAGCGTTATTTTTTTTTCAGACATTAAAATCGGTGTCTCTAATTTATTTTACGCCGCAATTAGCATCCGATTTTAATTTGCATTTGTATTACCGTCAAAAAACAACCATCGCTAAAAAATACTGTCGAACATGGAAGTGATGCTGACGTAACGAGGCAATAGTATTAAAAAAATTTGGATCTAATTAGCGTCGAACAGGGCCGGCGCTAATCAACGTTGGACTTTTTTTATGCAATTGCATCGTTTTAGCAGTGACATGTATTGTTGGCTGATTTCGACGCCAACCTATAAGACATAAAGAAAAATACAACAAAACAATTAAATTTCTACATACATGCACATAACAAACACAATTAGCACAATATTATATTTATATATCATCACAACTCATAAAAGAAATCTCAAACATACAAATAATGATACCAAATCAAATTAAATATAAACGGATTACAGTGCTCAGAATTCATAGCACAAGAAACTGAAAGTTCCTACAAAACAGAGAGAAAAAAAACATAAAGTAGCCCCTATGTCGGGGGAAGATCATCAAACATAGAAAAAAACCTAATATTTATCCTCATCGTCATCCTGTTCCTCCTCGACCAGATGCATGCTCAATTGCTCTAGCGATCAAAACACTTCATTAGATGTGTTAAGTTATATGCAACGAGTTGCTAGCCTGCACGCACCCATTGGAGCTCTTCATTCATCATCGTCACATGCCTGGCAAAGTCATCATGTTGAGCCTGTAAAGAGCTAGGGCCACCCACATTTGCTCGGGAACGCTCAACCTCAAAGGCCATCCACTTTGCTCCGAGGTCGCACACTCTCCCTTTGTTCCTTGCCGCCTACGTCCACAACTCAAAATCAGACAGCGCAGAGGTAGTCTTACTACCGCTGCTGACTGATGGTGAGGTCTAACCGGTCATCTCCCTCTTTTTCTCCTAGAGCAGCTTGTACTCCTCCTGCATGGCAAAGTTCAAATATTATTTGACATTTTAAACATTAATTGCCATATTAATAAAATTAATTTTTTTTAAACTTACATTGATACATCGAGAGTGGCCGAGTACCTATTGATGTGTGCCTACGCGTCGATATGTAAGGACGTGCAACTCTACGGTGGATTACCCTCTGTCAAGCTTTTTGGCCTGTATGCATGATCACATAAAGATATGAGTCACATAATTATGTAAGTCTATAAGCTAGTGAATGTTAACATAATCTTACCAGCCTCCGACAATGTTCTATGTGAGGGATCGAACCTCCAATGTGGAGTGCGACCCCTCTGACCCCCTCCGTCGTCTGGTTCTATTGATTTATCTGTCTTTCCCTTTGGAACTTCGAAGAGACCCACACTCGATTTAACTCAGCCTAAACTTCATCCCCAACCCACGAGGGCCTCTGCCCTTTCTTATGCACCGTCTTGAACATAACCCAGAGCCTATGCTTGGCACGAACCTAAAAATTTGTCAAATCTGCTGATGATATTTTGAAAACTAGTGAAACGATCTCAAAAGAATAGAAAGTTTGTAAGCTTGATTAGCATATAGAAAAGATAGAAATTAACTTTCTATTTCAAATTTAAATATCATACTACATCTCAATAATTTTTAAGTTGATGCTTTCTATAAAAAACATAAAAATAGTTTCGATAATATACTGTATTGCAACAATTTTTTATGGTCTATTCTTCAATACAATAACTCAGTTAAGTTTATCTCTTGCTCGTTCAGAATATTGAACATAATAAACTCGACTAGCGTGATTTGTCAGGGTCATACTTCTCATATCTTTTGTTCATCTTAACTTTGGTAATATCATATGGGTCGTGTGTCTGAGTTCCTCTATTAAGAACGGGATCAAACACTCACAGTTAAACATGAAGACATTTCATTCAACATAGCCCAAATATTGCAACTGTTTAGTATGTCGTAATAACTAATCTTGTTATCTCTGTGAGTGTTTCTTACAACATAAACACCATAATTATAAGTTTGTTTTCCTTCATACTAGGAGCTCGTGTGAAATTTGTAACTATGAAGTTCAAATATTTGTCATGTCTCCACGCTACGATTAGACCCCCAAGCAAGATCTAATAAGCCTTGATTTGTGATTTTGTTGCTTGTATCATAGACCTTGTATAACATATTTAGATTAACTTTGTATAGTACAATTACACAACATACTAGTGAATTTAAAAGTTACTTTAATGTACGTGTAATTTGAAGCATTTTGGAAATTCTTCTTCGATTTTTTTATTAGTTTTTGTTTGAGTTTTAAACTTTTTTTATTCTTGAGCTCAACAATTGAAAGTCAAAATGATAACATAGAGTTTGAATTTTTAAAGTCATGTTTAAGGGATAAATCTGGAGCTGGATGGAAAATTAAACTGAGTTGGGCCTGATTTGAATAAGATCAAATTTTATTTGAATCATATTGGAAAAATAAGAATCCATTATACATAGCTTCCACTTTATCATTTACAATTTTTTTACTATCAAAAGATGTTTTTCATTTGAGGCCCTTAGTTTTAGGTGTCATGACATTCAAATGAGAAAGAGATGAAAGAAAATTAAAGGAAAGGCAAAAGAAGGTACATGCAGCATAGCGCCTTGTGTTCTCTAACTTGTGGCTAGGTCAGAAGACATAGCTGTGTGAAGGTGAAATGAGTGGAAGAGGTATATTTATAGGAAATGCATATGATACTCCAGCACTAGACTGAGGTGTTATAGTGTTGAACTAAGACGTTGCAGTGCTCAACATATTTAGGAAAATGAACTGGATGGAGCCACATATACGTGAAATGAAGTGTTGTGGCACTAAGGAGTGCCATTGTGGTGCTCGAATAAGATAGAGGAAGCACTACAACATTAGGGTGGATGCTACAATACTAAGAGCATATTTTCACCCTTCCAAATGTTTTTGATCTCCCTAAGGCACAAAGTTCAAGCTAAATCAAATAAAGCAAATAATACAAACAAAAGAAAATATAATAAGATAATTCTCAAATTGCCTCCAAAGAAGCATTTGATTTATTATCATCATCCAAACAATGTCAGACCCCTATTTAGGATGACCTAAGTCAATGATCTCCCCAGAGACTATCCTATCGCCACCTAAATAAGGCTTTAACCATTATTCATTAACTTTAACTATATGAGTATTTTTTCTATTTTAAATATCAAGATGCCAAAATTGGTAAAAATAATACTACAGTGAATTGACCCAAAACTAGAAATAACTTTGCTCATCAATTATATAATAAAATTTCTTGTCCATATTGAAAATTTTCTTTTAATAAGTTTTTTTATTGTGTTATTTTTTCATTCATTTTTTATATTTATCATTCTCATTATCTTGTGTTCCAATTTCCTCTAACTCATTCAACCGTAGAAACATTTTCTCTACCAAATCTTTGATATTATTACTGAATTTTGAAGCTACCGAATAAGCTTTATTTTCTAATTATAAGGATAAATGGTAGGATTTTTTAAAATTAACCTATATGTTGACTATTGCAAAATAGGATTCGTAGTTTGCACATTATAACAGAATTTTGGTCCATCATATGTTTCAAGCAAGTCTTTAAGTGTCGCTGACATATTACAAAACCAATTTTTAATTTTCTTAAAAGTATTATAAAATTTTAATTATTCTCTTAAGACTAATAGCACAACAACAAAAAATTGTTTAGTAAAATATTAGCTCCATAAAAAATCTAAAAATTAAAGTACTCTAAGAAAATTCAAATATGCAGAAGAAACTTGATTTTTCCAAAAATAGAACTTGCTAATTTGACTCTTTGTAGAGAGGGGGAAAATATGTGATTATGGGGGTAGCAAGTTGAGAAAAAAGGATATAGAGAGAAAAAAAGAGACCGGGGAGAGAGAGAGGGGGGAGAGAGGGGAGGGAGAGTGAGAGAGGTGGTGAGAGGTTTTGAGTTATAGAGAGAAAAGGGCGAGGAGTAGGGGAAATTTTATAACCTTGAAGGTGTTAGAAAGGGAGGGAGTGATTTGGGTACATATAGGGATATTGAGTGGTGAAAAAGAAGCTTTGTTTGCGTTTAATATGAAACCCAAAGCTTGTTTGCGTTTAGTATGACTCAAGCTATGCTTATGTTTCACTTTAAATGCAAGATACGGTTTGCTCATTCTCTTTAATTATTTTTTCTCTTGCTCCTAATGTCAATATTATTAACCCTTAAACTCCTTTTAAAAATTTGATCTTTTTGAATCTTTAGTTTAAATATATAAATACATGAAATAATTTAATCTGGTTAATATAAAATTATTTCAAATTTTAAATCTTTTTACATGAAGTCAATTTTAATCAAATATGATTTTATTATTTCGATTCAATAATTAATTTTTTATTCATTTTCAAACTAGAAATGAGTTATTCAATTCTCTAAATATATAATTATATTTTAATATTATATTCAGGCACAAGAATGCATTCAAACTAGTATGTAGGTATATATTTATGCATATATTTATACATATAAATATATACATAACTAAAATGCTATGGGGCGGGGAAACTTTCACTGTGAGAGGTATGTGCTGACTCCAGACAGAATAAAGTGACAAGTCAGCAATCCTGCCATCCACTGCAATGCCATCCACAAATCCAACCTAACGCCGTCACCAGTCTCCGCTTTCCGTCACCGTCCGCACACAGACAAACGATAAGCGAGCCACAAAAAAGCTGCCTTTTTCTCCTGTTGTAAAAATGCCTTTTTTATTTTTGTAATATTATTTCGGAAGATATTTTCCCCATATCTCCTTTGGGCATGTGAGATTCTTATTCTCTTAAAATTTAAATTGAGCCTCTCTGTCTCTTACTTACGACTGTGATTGTCTCATTCGAATCTTATCGTCCCCTCCACCTATCTAATAATCAGTCTACCTTTTCTAATCATCCTAATACACTACTATTTTTTAATATTTTTTTCCTCCATTGCTGTGGAAAGATTCATTTTTTCATTAGTAGAGGAGCCTCTCACACCTGAAAGCCCATATCCAACACCCTTTTGATCCTTCGTTCATTTACAGTGCATTAAAGCCTTATCTTTGTTATTGAAGTCTTTGTCTGCTTGAGTATTGATAATGATTAATGATGTAACGACAGTCTCATCTTAGCTCTTGAAGGTTCTGCTTTTTTTACTTGAAGAAAATTTCTTGGATTTCTTATTCCCTTCAAGGAAGAGTGGTTTTCTTTCCTGTTTGATTTTTGGAACTTTGTGCTTTGCAACAAACCCATCTGCGCTTTTTTTTTTTCCTATTTTTGAAAGCTTGACTGACTGGCATGGTAGCCTCTCCTTGCCAAAAAGCTCTCACCTTTTTTTTTCCCTAAAAATAAGTGAGATCTTTGAATATTCAGAGCTAGATCTCGTTCTTCTCCAAATGGCCATTTTTATCTTTTAGATGATCTGTTAGCCATGAAGAACTGTTCTGTGCTTTACCCCTCTTCATAAAATAAGATCTTTGAGGTTGGATAGCTAGATCTTCTCCAAAAAAGGTCATTTTTAAGCTTCTGAGATGAGTTCTGGAATCACGAAAAGCTTCTACACCATGAAAGCTTTGTTCTTTTCTTGGATTTTAATGGCGGGCGGTGTAAGCGGGATTGGTGCAAACTGGGGAACGCAGACCAGCCATCCACTGCCACCGGACACAGTGGTTCAGCTTCTGAAAGACGATGGGTTTCAAAAAGTGAAGCTTTTTGATGCAGAGGATGGCACTTTGAGTGCTCTCAAGAACAGCAGGATAGAGGTTATGGTTGGGATCCCAAATGATATGCTTACCACGCTGGCAACGAATGTGAAGGCCGCTGAGAAGTGGGTTTCACAGAATGTTTCCAGTTATCTCAGCGATGGAGTCAATATAAGGTTTGTCTTTTGTTCAAAATGAGCTTTTTTATTCATTTTGAGATTCACAATTTTAGATGGTATCAGGTAATGTTTGTTCGAACTCCCGTCTCCACCATGGGAGCCAAAGTCCACAGTGCCTTGTGGTGAAAAAAATGAATACTTATGTATTTACATGTATAATACCTACTTTTTATATTTATATATCTAACACTCAAGTTCATTGAGCAAGCCTAAAATATCATTATGTTTACTTTTCTTAAATGAAATACACATTTTCATACAGATGTTGTTATTTGATTTGAATGGTTAAAGGGCTGTTTGATCAGAGGATATCACAGGATATAAGTCAAATCTTACCGAATGATTCAAATGTCCATTTTAAAGCCTACAAAATCTTAAATCCCGTTTCTATACTGTATATTGCCTTGAATCCCGAATTTAGTAAATCCTGGCATTTGGCGACTTTAGCAAATCGACACGTCTCATGAACTCCTCTTCATTTTCACATGTAGCCGCCCCCGTCGATGCCACGCTGTTTTGGGTTGGCTAGCTACTTTTTACTTGAGGTTGATATAAACAAAATAAATATGATAAGATTCTATAATCATATAAATCCTTAATCCTGAAACAAATATACAAATAGTTTATCTGAATTCAATTTAATTGAATTTAACAGCTATCGTACTAAACAATTTTCAGGTTTTAACCCACATTGAATTTTTTAAATTAGGATTTACAAGATTTACAAAATTCTTCTGGAGTAAAATCCCACTTGTAGTTAGGCAACCCTTAAGGATAAGGTGTTATATAAACAAGCATAAGGATTTATGTGTTAGATATATGATATGTAAACACTTAAGAATTCAATAATATATATTGTAAGCCCCCCTTTTTATTTTGAGTTATGGTGGAAACTTGTGTTGATGTTTATGAGTTGATGAGAAGGATGTCTGTTGATCTGGTCAGCTTTTGCAGAAAGCTAAAGTTGAAATTAGTTTCCATCCAGTTGGTTCTGGGAGGATTCTCAAGTTTGTTGGAACATAATGGATTGGTATGAACCAGAGTTCTCTCTTTAAGGGTATTTTATTGAATGAAATTATTGAGCTTCTAGCCTCTAACTATCAGAAAACATTGAGTTTAGTATAAAAATGAATGTAGTAATATGTTAAAAAAATAGCCGTATAGCTTGGACAGAGAATCTGGAACAAACCTTTGGTGTTATTGCCCTTATTATAATGAAACGTTCATGCAAGGAAATAATATTAAATTCTCGTGCAAACATTACGATGTTTGCAAAGGTGTAGGCAGGAATTATGGTAATGATGATAGAATACGTTCACAAATATTTGTGCTAGGTTAATTGGGACTGAGAAGTAAGGCTGATAAAAGGGTATACTTGCCAGTTTTTTTTTTTTTTTTTGAACTTTGTTAATTTGTCATTTAGTGAGATTTGGTGTTTTCATAAACTTTATTTGGATTTTCTTAAAAAGTGCAGGACTTCTTTCTGAAAGTTTTACAAAGTTTGGTAGGCAAATCCATGAGAACATTTAGGTAGGTTGTTGCTGCTCTTTATCCAAGCTCTGTCCCTCTATTTGAGAAGTTTACTTCCCAGCTCTTTGTTAAAGTTATTAGAACTATTTACTTACCATACCAATGTCATCATATATGCCTAATATTTTAGTAGAAACCTAATAGTATTGATTGTTGTAATATATCTTTATTATGGAGGATATTCTTGTTTATTATTTTTTCCGCACTTCTCTATTCTCTCTCCTGTATATAGGCATATTCGTAGTAGCATTAGGATGATTCAAATAATGATATGGACTTGTACGATTTGATCATAGTATTAGAGCAACCTTTTAAGTCTTCATATTTGTCTGTGTGTGGACAGTACTAGATAATCTATCTCTTGTCATAGATTCACTCAACATACAGCTTTTCTGTTTGTTCACGAATCGTTGTTTGGACATCCAAGATTCTGTAAGGAACCCATGAAAAGACCCCTATAATTTGCCTGCCCATGATTTCTATTACTCTTTCTCTTTGGTTCATCATAAGATCTCCATTCTCCACTCTTAATTCTCATTAATGCAAAAGGATTGAAGACTTCTTGTGCAAAACTTCATCATTTAGTTTATTTCAAAAGCTCCACTACAATCATACAAGTTTTTCTTAAACATATAAAATCAAATCATTTTTAAATACTACAACATATATTTTCCTGGGTATATCCTTCAAACCTTTCCTTTCTTAATACACTTAATATGCTCCATCTAATTTCCAACTTTCTAGCATTTGGCAATTGCTACTTGCAATGAAGCAAAATCTTTTTTACGCATTAAATTTAAGACCACCATCTTGCTATACATGCGGACATGATTGGCTGCAAATATAGTGAAGCCTATAATTACTTCTAACCGGTTAAATGTTATGGTTTTTGCATTACATTGCGCTGCACATTTTCTTGAACGCTTATGCAACTACTCTTTAGCTTCAAGTGTGTGGTGTCTTGGTGTTTTCATTGTGAAAATACCTTATGCTCAGACAGTTCTTACAACCTTGCAGTAAATCACAAATTTATGTTATTCTTGAATTTCCTAATCTATAAAACTTAGAATGAATATATTCTAGTTTTCAACAATAGAGTGAAAATGGTAAAGAAAATATGTCAAACTAAACGTTCAGTGTTTGGATATAAAGATCCTGAAAATGTTTTTCCCTTTCATCCAGAAAGAAAGCACTTTTCTATCTGAATAATTGTCTGTTGTCTGAGCAGACAATTATAAATGTCATTATAAATTGAAAGTTTTATGATAGTGCAAATATCATTAAAAATTGAAAATTTTACGATAGCAGCCATAGTTATTGGACAACATTGTCTTACCAAAATTTTGGACAGAATAGCAGAACATCATCGGAAAAAAAAAAGAAACACTTTCGACTGCGCAAAGCAACGGAATGCACCTTTGTTGCATGAAAAAAAAAAACTCATTCAACATGCTCCGAATTCTTGTGGCAAAAAATGTAATAGCTTCACAAATTAAAGAGCTCGAATTGATTGTAAAGGAAGAGAACAAGAAAATTTAAGAATATCAAGCATGACATGACCTTTTTTGGCAATGGTAAAATTCATTTTTCCCCTCAAATATTTTATTAATTGAATATAAGGCCCAAAGTCAGCCCACAAACAACCAGACACAAGGTCAATTATAGATATGAAAGGCACATTACCAGCTATAGACTGAATTTCACATAGGGAGTTGGTGAATATTTAATTAAAAGTTAGAGTGGCAAACTTAAATACCTCGAAACGCAAGCCATTCTGGGAATTTGTCTATGTCACTGCCTGATATTAATGATCTTCGTCATACCATCTTCTTCAAGCTTCTGGCTACTAAACGACCTTAACACTAGTACCAATGGGATTAAGAAGTAAGCCCTATAACCCCAGTTTATTATAAATATTGCTTTTGGGATAAAATCGTGTTGGTAATTCCGATTATCATGGTAACCTAACATAGATGCTTAATGCTTGCTTAAAATGAAAATATGCAGAATTTAGTCTAAAAGTAGAGTGAAGCGTGCATAGATATTTTTTGGGATTCTTTCGAGCTTTGTTAATAAAGTGAGAACCTTCTAAATTATTCCTTTCATATCTCTCCATGACATTGGAGAAAACAAGTTCGAATGGGAACTAATTTTCATGTTTAAAAAAAAGGTTGTACCTCATTCCCATGTCTGCCAAGGCTCCGGCCAACAATTTGTATAAGAACAATTTCCTAACCACAATGAGGATAATTTTGTTTATTTTGATTAACTGAAAATGTTCTTCTTAGAGCCTATTCTCCATAATCTTAAATTTCTTTAATGATTTTATCAATTTACGGTTTTCTTTTCACCATCTGCTTAAGTAAAACATAAAAAAATGACATGAATATGAAGCTTTGAAGTTCAGGTTTGCAATTCTTAAATCACCTCCTGTTTGCTAGAAATGGCACTGACAACTCATAGAAAAGAAGTGTAAAAATGGTTTCCTGCCTCTTTGTAAGTGATCATTTTAGTCTCATAGTCTATAAAAGTGTCATATTAGTCCCAAAACTCTTTTAGTATGAGTTGAAATAGTCCTCAAGAAAGATTATTTTAGCCATCATTAAAATAGTATGACTACTAATTTGACACTTTTGTAAACTCTCAGGCTAAAATGACCCATATATAAATAGTCAGGGGACTATTTTGTCACTTCACTTGCTCATAGAGCCCATGTTTGAAGTCTACTCTAGAAAGCTTGCATGTCTTGTCATCCTCGACATTTGACATAAGCTTTTTGTAATAGGGAAATTCTTTGATCTGCTAATGTTCTATACATATGCACAGAATACCTTTTTCTAAACAGCAAGATAACACAACAGTTGTCTCTCTCGTTATACTGTGCCTGACTTCAGAAACCAGAGAGTGTTCAAGGTAGGTCATTTGAAAAGGGCACAAGGTTGAAGAAGGAAATTTCTTCTCATTTGGTTGTTTTATTAATTTTAGAATATTTTTCTCATTGCAGCGGTTCCGAGGCAAAAAATAATCATAATTACAATGGAGCATGGGAAGTTATCAGAAAGAGAAGCAAGTGAAACAAAAGATTAGATGATTTTTCTACAAATAAATGTAGGAGAATATATATATGTGTGTGTACATTGTCATTTAGAGGACCTTCTTAAGAATTACCGGCTACAAATTCTACAATCAGTGCTAATTTGTGTACTAAAAGTGCTACATTTGCCGAGTTAAACCTTACTGAAAAAGCTTGCTGTCACAATAACTTAGCTGTTGGCAGCTTGTTTTGAAACACCAAGCTAGACATAAGCGTTCTATTGAAAAAGTAGAATGTCCAGAAAATATTTCATGGTATTATTGGAAGAAACTGACATAACGTCATTAATAATAGCCCAGTCATCTTAGGAAGATGCGTATGGTCACTTTGTGATGAATGATGAATAGCAGAGACTGCTAAAATAATGTGTTGGATGGCTGGGAATGCCACAAAAATGAAATATACGGTTGGGATTTTGTAATGGATGTTAATATGTTGGGTGAGAACATGGAAAATAGAGTGCTAGTTTATAATTAGTCAAGATTTGAGAGTTATACCAGCTTTATTGTTGTCTGGGTAAATTTACACCAACGTATTTCTACAATTCTAAGGATCAAAACATTTTGCCACTTCGTTATTTTTTCATTTAATATGATGTTATTGCCTCCCTAAACTCCTAAAATTCATTACTAACTTATCAACAGATATGTGGCAGTTGGGAATGAACCTTTCCTGCAGACTTATAATGGAAGCTTTATTCAAAGTACTTTACCTGCACTCCAGAATATCCAAGGAGCCCTAATAAAGGCAGGTTTGGGCAGCCGGGTGAAGGTCACCATTCCTCTTAATGCAGATGTATATGAATCATCAAGCGGTCGGCCTTCTGACGGTGATTTCCGCTCCGACATCCACGACCTCATGCTCAACATTATTAAGCTCCTTAGTGATAATGGTGCCCCATTCACCGTCAACATCTACCCCTTCATCAGCCTTTACAATGACCCCAACTTCCCCGTAGATTACGCCTTCTTTGATGGGACTTCTTCGCCGGTGACCGACGGCTCCACGACATACAATAATGTGTTTGATGCCAATCATGATACACTCATATGGGCCTTGAAGAAGAATGGATTTGGAAATCTTCCCGTCATAGTTGGAGAGATAGGTTGGCCAACTGATGGAGACATGAATGCAAACCTAAACTATGCTCAGAGGTTCATTCAAGGGTTCATGACTCACATATCAACCGGGCAAGGCACACCGATGAGGCCCGGGCCAATCGATGCCTACCTCTTTAGCTTGATTGATGAAGACGAAAAAAGTATACAGCCGGGAAATTTTGAGCGGCATTGGGGCGTCTACACTTTCGACGGTATCCCCAAATATCAGTTAAATCTCGGAACGAGGAATGGCGGTCTGGTGCGAGCTAAGAATATCAGGTATCTAGAGAGGAAATGGTGTGTGCTCAAGCCTTCTACTAACCTGGACAATGCTAATGTGGCGCCTAGTGTAAGCTATGCATGTGCGAATGCTGACTGTACGAGCCTCGGATACAAGACATCATGTGGTGATCTCGATGCGATGGGTAACATATCTTATGCTTTCAACAACTATTACCAGAAGAATGATCAAGAAGATGAAGCCTGTGGATTTAATAATCTAGCTACTCTGACGACCAAGGACCCTTCTACTTTGAACTGTAAATTTGAGATCATGATCGACACTGATTCTGGACTGTCTTGGACACTCGGAAGGATTAGAGATTGGAGGATTATTGTGGTTTACCTTTTGTATTTGTCTTTCATGTTTTTATTTACATTGTTTTAAGGTTTTAGTGAATCTCTCATTTTGGGGACATCAGAGCCCATCAATGTTCTTGTCTTTTCTTTTTTTTTAACAACTTAATTCATGCATTTGAAGAACAAAAAAGCGATTTTGTGAATTTTAATATTTGAGTGAGAATTTATGTATTTCCTCTTATATTTCTTGACTTAGAGCTAACTGCCGTTATGTTAAGATTTTCCTGTAAGTTGATACAAATAAATGATGTAAATCTTTGGAATCTATTTAAGTAGGAACTAAAGAAGATTATAGAAGCCATACATTGGCTGTTACTGATCATTTCAGAATAAAACAACGCTCAATAAACCATTTTTGAAATAATTAACTTCAAATCCAAACTTGCAGATTTCACTACTATGCACAATATATGGTTTCAGGAAAACCTGCATCCAATCTGCTAGACGACTGCTAAACAAATGAAACAACAGTACTTAGAACAATCTACATGGCTACTAAATAACTTTTCATCAGATTGGGATCAATGAAATACTTAAGAAAACTTCATTTGGATGACGGCTTGAGTGATAAATCGCCCAAACTTGAAATGAGCTTATCTAGCTCTGCAGCTTCAGCAGTGCTTGCTTCCTCAGCTCCTTCCCTCAGCTTATCCCTGAGAATACTCTCTGCAAGAGCTTGGTTCAGATCAGCTAAGAACTGATCCTCCTCTTCCTTCGCCACTAGGAGGTCTGCAACAGCTCTCTTCAGTTCAGGGATCAGCTCATGCTCCTTTTCGTCCTGTTCCTCCCGGAGATTCCACACCATGAAAATAGTCTCGGTCGATTCAATTTCTTTTAGAATTTCCTCGTGTCCATCACCAACATCACGGCCATATCCTTCAGCTCTATTCACCAGTGCTGGGACATTGGCAGCATCTTCTTGATCGCTGACAATCTCTGGCTTCGTAGGAACCTCCTCTTCATCAACCGCCATTTGTTCGCCATTCCCTGCCTCATCAAGATGATGGAATGTTGCATTGTTCTCATGGAAATCATCAAAAGATGTGATGCTATCAATTAGGGCTTCTTTAAGAGAATTCCAGCTTTCCAAGGACAATTCTGGATCGGCAACAAGGCAGGAATCCACCCAAGCCATATCCTCTTGAGAAAACAGCTCTGGCTTGAACTCTGATTCTTTTAGTCCTTCCAATAAGGCCAAATAACCATCATCCAGCAGGAGCTCGTCCTCACGCTCCTGTTCCTCGCGATAGTCATTTAACAACCCTGAGGCTATCAAGTCACCTTCGTTTCGCATATCTGCACTGCCATTAAACAAAATATCCTCTAAAAACAGTAAAATGAGAGCCAATTTGCAAATCCAGAATAAAGCCATGAATTGTGCAGTGGTTGTTAGACGTTTGATTATGGAAGAAAACAGGAGGTTTCGTTAATGATTTACTCAATGTCTGTTGGAGCAAAACAACAAATAGTCTGTGGGCATGATGTCTGTGACATCTGAAAACTTACAGACGAGGATGACCGGAGGTTTGGATGGGAAGGGATTGGGAGAGGCCCTCCCTCGCTCATCCTATAACAAGTTTTTTTTTTCTTTTTCAGAAAAAAAAAAAAAAACTATCGAGAAAATTTGAGAGCTTGTAAGAGAAACAGATTAATTTCAACAATTTAATCGCCTGCATAAAAGAAAAAAGGTTTCTTCGACAGAACAAGAACGAAGGAAGAACTTTACCTAAATGTTTGGACAGATAAAATTCTGTATCTCCGTTGATTAATGATTTGGCCGTCGATCCAACGTCACAGAATGGATGAAATCGAAATGGATGAATTGAAAGCGAAATACGATGCCAGTTTCAGCTTCCAAATCTCACCAAGGTGACGCCTTTTCATGAAAGCGAGAAGGATTTCATATATAGGCCGCGATTTTCTTCAAAAAGAAGTTTACAGGAACCGAATGGGAAAAAAAAAACACGAAAAAAGACAAAAAATTCCGTTGCCGGGACTCGAACCCGGGTCTCTCGGGTGAGAGCCGAGTATCCTAACCAACTAGACTACAACGGATTTGATGATTGAGTGGATGTGGTTATTTTATATCATAATATGTAAATTTACCTTCCATTTTTATCACGCACAAAACTAAGTACTTAATTTTAAACACAAAAACTATTAATACTTCAAAAGTGGAACTCTGTTATTGCCTATTTTGACCTCTCTTAAGTCATAGGAATGTTATTAGTCCTTTACTCTTATTCTTCATTCTATCACAAACCACGAGCATGTGTTCTAGTTAAGTTTCTCTTGTAGATTTGTTGAGCATTTATTCCATACTTGAAGCTTTTCCTATAGCTTCTTCTAGTGTTCGATCTGTCACGCCCTATGACTGCGAAAGCATCAAGTATTGCTTGTCCGCTCCCCTTTCTTCTCACTTTTGATCATCTTATGTTGCCTATCCTTGTAACTTCTTAACACAATAGGTGTTCCATTACCTAGGGAACTGCCTAAGTTTGAAGAACGCGAAAACACCATCATTGTCCTTTTAAATGAACACATTTAAATAAACATGCAACTTTCATATCTAATTTTCAAGGTTATGGATTGCTAAAAAAAACACCTAAAGTTTGATATTTACATGTAGAACACTGATCGCCGCTCCCGCGACCCTATTGGTGCAATTGTTGTCATTCTGTTGTTGTCGTGTCATTGTCGTGGTGCTGGGGAGCCACTAGTTTGTTTTCCATCGTATAGCCTCATTCTTCGAATAACTCTCTGTCTTGTCGTGTAGAAGATCTAAAAGAGAAGAGATCCGAGGGCTAAAACATACAATAATGGGAATTGACCTGACCCGCAATCACACAATTAATTAAGTTCTAAAAGATTGTCAAATACTTGACCTAATTTATATTCAACGGCTAGTGTGCAAAATAAATATGTTATGAAAATAATTAATAACTTACACATTAGAGGTACTACACAACTATACCTATCTTTTCAAACAATATAGGATTTTCTTTAAAAAACCCCAGTATTGAACCCATGGGGAATAAGTGAATTTCTATGTCAACTTAGAAATGTTCTACTCAAACTGTAGACAAAATTTGTAGGAAAATTATATCAAACTATTACCGCCGAAACGTGTCGTCGTCGTCGCCAATTCCCGTCATTTGTGTCGTTGGTTGATGTTGTTGTCGAAAGAAGTCACCACTCTATTTATCTATTTTATTGTCCTATTCTTCAAATGACTTGTTCTTTTTAGATCACATGAATGACATTAAAATGTTAAGTAAGTTGAAGAATGAGGAAAAGGACAAATGAAAATTAAAATTAAAAGAAAATGTCATAGTGATTTTGCTTATAGAGAATTCAGAAATATTTGATTTCTGAGATTCTCATGTAAGGAAAACCACATAAAAGTTTCATAACCAGAGATTTAAGTGCAATACCTATTCTGAGTTCTTCAATAATTCTATAAGCGTAAGCTCCTATAGTTAATTACATCTTAAGTAGTTAAAACTACTCAAGAAAACTTTCGATTAAACTAATGTTTGTTATCAAAGAAATTTTAAATGTCAAGGTCAAGGAAAGAAACAACAATATTTGAACCTAGAGTAAGAGGCTTCTAAGGATCTGATTCTACCCTAAAGGTTTTGTTATGTCGTTTTATTTTGTTGTTTTGTTGTTTTGTTTATTTCTTGTTTATGTCGTTTGGTTTTGTTGTTTTTTAGTTTAGTTGTTGTCATTTTGTTATTTTGAGGTTCACCTTTTCCGCTTCAGAATTCCGTCCATACAAAATAGAGTTAACAAACCCTAATAACATGCAAAATAAATCTAAAGCATAATTTGTCTCATATCTCCAGCAAACCTACAAAACAAAACATGATTAGCCATGAAATCTTGTTTTAATTTGTCAATTTAGTTTGTTGAATAATTTTTAAATGGCCCAGACAAGATGTTTATGGCTCTGTCGTCTTAGGGTCGTAAGAGTATTCAAATCTACTTAGTCTGCAAGGTGTTGAAATCAGGACCAGAAGATTCTTGTAAGCAACCACAGATTGCATCGTTCAAAAGATCTTCATAGATCTGAACACAGGTGTTCAAGTTGCATTCGGTGATCTTTATTCATTAGGGTTCAATTTAAGTTTTAATGTCTTATTTGGATTTTAGGGGCTGGAAAATCTTAAGTTGGTTATGATTTAATAACCGATTGAATTTTATCATTTTGTCGTTTATTTTTGTTCGGGATGACCCGATCAAGATCCCATGGTTCCGTCGTCCCGATCATTATGTTTGCGGCTTGATTAGCCACAAGTGGCTGGAAGATATTTTGTTAACAACCATGGGTTACCTCCTCCAAAATATCTTCTCAAACCTAGTTGCATTTTTAAGTTCAAATCAAAGTTTTAATGTATTTTAAAGTGAATTTTATGTCATTTGTATTTTGTTGTGAATTTCAATTTATTTAGGTTGGTTGAATTCAAATGTTAAATTGAGTCATCATTTTTAGTTCATCATGGCGTTTATTTTAGGTCCGATGTGGGTTAGACCTAAGGAGATTTGATTAAAGTCTAATAAGCTAGACTTAAGATTTATGTTCAAAGTGGGTAGAACCTAAAAGAGGTTTAATTTTGAGTTTGATATTTGTCATGTTTTAAGTTTTAGGTTCAATGTGGATGGAACCTAAGGTTGTAGAGTGACATTGATTCAATTTATGTAGAACCAAAAGTTTAATATTATGTAGGTTCAATTTGGATAAAACCTAAGATTTGGGAAGGTTTAGGTCCAATTTATGTAGATACTAAAGTCTAGTGTTATTTTGGTTTAATTTAGGTAGAACCTAAAGTTTAAGTTGATTTGGGTTCAATTTAGTTGTGGTGTTACTTAGATTCAATTTACGTAGAATCTAAGGTTTAGTGATGGTTTAGGTTTGATTTAGGTAGGACCTAAAGTTTGATATTACTTAGATTCAATTTAGGTAGAATCAAAAGTTTGAGAAAGCTTAGGTCCAATTTAGGTAGGACCTAAGATTCAGTGTTACTTAGATTCAATTTAGGTAGAATCTAAGTTTTAGGATGACTTAGGTCCAATTTTGGTAGGAATTAAGGTTTAAGGTGGCATAGGTCCAATTTAGGTAGGACCTAAGGTTTGGTGTTACTTAGATTCAATTTAGGTAGAATCTAAGGCGTGATATGATTTAAGTCCAATTTAGTTAGGAACTAAAGTTTGGTATTATTTAGGTTCAATTTGGGTAGAATCAAAAGTTTGAGATGATTTAGGTCCAATTTGGGTAGGCCTTAAGGTCAAATTTGGGTAGTACCTAAGGTTTGATGTGATTTAGATTCAATTTGGGATTGAATCTTAGGTTGATGTCATTTAGGTTCAATTTAGATAGAACTTAAGGTACATGATGGTATAGATCCAATTACGTAGGCCCTAAAGTTTGATATTACTTAGTTTCAATTTAGGTAGAATCTTAGGTTTGAGATGATTTAAGTCCAATTTAGGTAGGACCTAAGGTTTAGGTGGACTTAGGTTCAATTTGGATTAAACCTAGGTTTAAGTTCATTTAGGTTCAATTTGGGTTGAACTTGAGTTTTAGATTGACTTAGGTTCATTATAGGTTGAACCTAAAGTTTAAGATGGTTTTAGATCCAATTAAGGTAGGACCTAGGGTATGGAATGATTTTGGTTCAATCTAGGTAGAACCTAAGATTTAATATTACTTATATTCAATTTAATTAGAATAAAAGATTTATGATAGTTTTAGGTCCAATTTAGGTAGGACCTAAGGTATGGTATTATTTAGATTCAATTTAGGTAGAATCTTAGGTTTAGGTCAACTTAGGTTCAATGTGGGTTGGAACTAAGGTTTTAGGTTGACTTAAGTTCAATGTGGGTTGAACCTAAGGTTTAGGTTGGCTTAGGTTCAATGTGGGTTGAACCTCAAGTTTGGATTGATGTAAGTTCAATGTGGGTTGAAATTAAGGATTAGGTTGGCTTAGGTTCAATGTTGGTTAAACCTAAGGTTTGTATTAACTTAGGTTCAATGTAGGTTGAACCTAATATTTGGGTTGGCTTAGGTTCAATGTGGGTTGAACCTAAGGGTTAGGTTGGCTTAGGTTCAATGTGGGTTGAACCTTAGGTTTGGATTGGCTTAGGTTCAATGTGGGTTGTACCTAAGGTTTGGATTGACTTAGGTTCAATGTGGGTTGAACCTATGGTTTGGATTGGTTTAGGTTCAATGTGGGTTAAACCTATGATTTTGGTTGGCTTAGGTTCAATGTGGGTTGAACCTAAGGTTTGGATTGACTTAGGTTCAATGTCGGCTAAACCTAAGGGTTAGATGGGTTTAGATTCAATGTGGGTTGAACCAAAGGTTTAAGTTGATAGAATAAGCCTAATTTAAATAAGGCTTAATGGATGTTTTAAGTCTAATTTAGGTTAGACTTAATTATAGTTTTAGGGTTTAATTAAACCTAATGTAGGTAAGGTTTAATTAAATTAATTAGTTCTAATTTATGTTATCTGGGTTTATAGGTTAATTAAGCCTAATGTATGTAAGACTTAATTAGATTAAGTAGGTCTAAATTAGGTTAGACCTAATTAGGGTTTGAGGCTAATTAAACTTTGTGTAGGTAAGTTTCAATTAGATTAATTAGGTCGAATTTGGGTTATACCTAATTGAGGTTCAAGAATTAATGAAACCTAATGTAGGTAATGTTTAATTAGATTAATTAGATCTAATTTAGGTTAAACCTAATTAAGTTTAAGGTTAATTAAACCTAATGTAAGTAAGGTTTAATTAGATTAATTAGGTCTAATTTGGGTTTAAGGTTTAATTAAACCTAATTTTAATTAGATTAATTAGGTCTAATTTAGGTTAAACCTATTTAGGGTTTATGTTGACTTAAGCCTAATGTAGTTAAGACTTAAAGATTAATTAGTTCTAAATAGTGTTATACCTAATTATAGTTTAAAGGTTAATTAAACCTAATGTATGTAAGGTTTAACTAGATTAAT